AAAGGACATGGTCAACAAGACAAAACAGCAGCCTACAGAATGGGAAAAGATCTTAAATAACTCTACACCAGATCTCCAAAACATACACAGTATATATACAAATATGCATGTAACAATAATTAATTAAAAAGGAGGCCACAAACTTGCAAGAGAGCAAGGGGATGTAGAAGGAAGAAAGCAAAGGAGGGAAATAATGTAATCTCAAAAAAAAAATTCCCTCTGACCCCTCTGTTGGATCTGACCACCCGTTCCATCGTCTGACCTCTCTGTTGGATTTAACCTCCCACCCTGCCCTCTGACCCCCTCATTGCTACACACCTCGGGGCACAGCTGCTGTTTGTCTCTTCACATTCCAAAGCTCTTGGTTTTTCTCCAGAAATCTGACCAGTAATGGCTTGGAGAAAGAAAGGCCTGTGTGAAGGGACAAAGAAGAGAATTAAAGAACACAATAAATGACTGAAGAGGTGGCTGGAAAGATGGTTCGGTGATGGCTAAGAGCATTGGCAGCTCTTCCAGAGGTCCTGAGCTCATTTGCCAACGACCTCATGGTGGCCCACAGTCATCTATGATGGGTTCTGACGCCTACTTCCGACATGCAGGTGTATGCGCAGAAAGAGCAGAATATACATAAAAGACAAATCTCAAAAAGTTATAAAATATAAATGAATGACTACAAAAATCAAATCAAATCAGTCTGGATGGGCATTTTAGAATACTTACTTAGGAGGAATTTATAATCACAGATCTTCATTTCTGTCATTTACAAAGAAGACTATAAAATTAGAAAAAAATATTTCTTTTCCATGTGTGCTCCATGTCGCATCCCATTTAGTTTCTGACATTACAACTACAGTGAAGGATACACACACTAAGACAAACAGATGAAAAGCTTAAGATGAAATATGTCTTACTTATATCAACAATTCTTCCTGAAAAGGGGGCCTATGAGCTGGGCAAGGTAGCTCATGCCTTTAACCCCAGGTTAAAGGGAGAAGTTAAAACTCAGAGGCACCCTGAATTCAAGGCTAGTCTGGCCTATAAAGAAAGTTCCGGGATAGCCAGAAACACCCTCTTTCAAAGCAAACTAACAAAAAAGCGAGCTTATGTGAACCTCATTAGAGAGTACAAGCTCCTATGAGATGGTCTATAGAGGGAAGTTACAGGCTGACAGTGAATTATGAATTTACTCTGGACGTGATCCTCACCCAGGAACACAAGGTTGCTGTAATTCTCCAGCATCACATCCCTGTACAGATTCCACTGAGCAGAGTTCAGACATTCCCACTCCTCTGCAGAGAAATCAATGGCCACATCCTTGAATGACACCATTTCCTGAAATGAAGATCAACAAATGACTACCACACAATAAAATAACTAAAACCATTAAATAAGCTGATTAAAACCATTTAAACCAACAGGCATCATGTGTTTGTGCTTAGGTAAAAGCAGAGCTAGAAATGCTGCTGACATGGGAGAATGATACAACCAATTTATTTTTTATGTAGTTGCATGAACCTAAGTACCCATGTAAAGAGAATGGTAAAAGGCCCTATACGTGCCCATGGCTGTTATGCAATTAACAATGCTAAAAGTAAATCGAACACATCTAGTAGGGGATCAAATTCTATGCCTGTATCATGCAGCACACTGCACACACACACATTTCTCATAGCGGAAGCCACAGTGCGTGAGAAGTGGCTTCTCAGCAATTCACGATGAATGTGCTCAGAGCGTGGTAGTAACACTGAATTTCTAGGAGTTTGGAAGCATTCAAATGACTTCTTTAAGTCAGAAATGATTCCAGATGGAAACTGAGTCACAGGTGGGCTACGATGCTCCCCTTTCTTTTTATCTTTGGTTTTTTTTTTTAATGCAGTGTTTTAAGAAATCCTGGCTATTGATTTTGTTTAAAAGAGCAGGGTAGAATTCTTCTGTGAATCTATTTTGCACTATCTCTCTCTCTCCCTCCTTCCCTCTTTTGTGCGGGGAAGGGGTTGTTGGCTTTCTTGTGAGTGAGAGAGAAGGCTTTGAATTAGCTTCAGTTCCGACACTGGCATGGTCTGTTGGTGCCCCAGCCCCTCTTAGTCTAGCATACGTGGTTTGGGGAAATCTAGACAGGCGAGCTTTTCTTTTGTATTTCCAATGGAATGGAGGGCAGGCTCCAAGTGTTCCCTTTCTTTGGTGTTCACTGTTGTGTTGCCCAGTTTATCCCTGGTCCTTTTAATTTGATCATCTCTTTCTTCCTTCCGGTCAGCAGAGCCAACAGTTCATCTTCTTCCCAAAGAAGCAGCTCGGGGTCTCATTGGTTGTTTTCATAGTTTTCTTGGTTTATATTTCAACACCTTATGTTCTGATTTTTATCTTTTTTGTCACTGGATTTATGTTTGGATTGTTGTTCTTTTGCACAATTCTTGAGTTGAGTCATGAAGTCACTGGTGTTCGTTATGATTTTTTAAACATATACTATTAAAGATATAAATTTCCACCACAGGACCACTTTAAGTTCATTAAGTTTCAGAAAGTTTTTTTTTTTTAATTTATAAGATCCTGGGCCACGTCACTCCTAGTTGAAAGAGACCAGAGTTCCCAACATAGACTACTATACTCAGCAAAACTATCAGATATTGCAAAACGAGAAAGGAAAAGTTTCTGGGATACAAATAGGCTAATAGAACTCATGTCGATCACACCAGCCCACAGGAGAGCCCTGACAGCAACACTTTGGACTGGAGAGAGGACGAAGCATAGGGGAGACTGGAGAGAGGAACGACGGCCACCTCTGCAGTAATAACTTCAAATGTTAATAGACTTTCCACACACAAAACAGGCTAGCTAAATGTTGATGAAAAGAAATCTGTGTTAAGAGCAGGAACTACCTTAAAGTGAAAGGATGCAAAAAGTAACCAAAGCTGGGTGGTGATGGTGCACAACTTTAATCCCAGCACTAGGGAGGCAGAGGCAGGGGGATCTCTAAGTTCAAGGGCAGCCTGGTCTAACGAGTGAGTTTCAGGACAGCCAAAGCTACTAGAAGAATCTGTCCTGGGGAAAAAAAAAACAGAAAGGGAGGAAAAGAGGGAGGGAGGGATGGAGGGAGGGAGGAAGGGTAACCAAAGTGATTGGGACCAGAAAGCACAAGGAACCACCCTCTTTTACGCACCATAACAGTATCCCACGTAAACGTGTATACAACTTCATTTGTTTTTCTTTTATGACAATGTCAAAATTGAAGGTAATTTACAAGTTGGATTTCATCCAATTTTAGGTAACCCTCTAGTTAAAAAAATGGAATATAGAAAAATTAAAGTATTTTTATCAAAATGGTGCTGAGATCTGCTTTTATAACTGAAATAAGAAAGCTATCATGAAGTCAGACATAGAAACATGGTAAGACATTATTTTCTCCTGTTAGTGCAGGAGTGAACATGGGGACCATGCATTAGAAGAGGCAGCAGGAGGTCTGTGTGGCTGACAACAGGAGACGTGCACAGCTGTGCAGACCATGTATTTGGTGAGGAGGGGGCTTTGGCTCTTTCTATGGACACCATTGAGGTAAGCATGGAATAAAAATAAAAATGTGACAGCTGTTCATTTCTATGTTAACTTTTCCTTTTTATGTATTTGAGCTATATTTTATAATTCTTAGCCATTTGTCAACTGTAATTTTCTTTAAATATGAATTCCATGAATAGCTCACATTCCATGTATGAAGCCGAAATCCACTTAGCTGTTTTCAGTCTCAATCCTTACTCCCTGAACATCACCGATATATTCTTTCCAATGTTCTTTTCCTAACTCATGGGTTCAAAGGTGATTGAGCCACCTGATGGAATAGAAGAAAACACTGCAAATCCCTCAGAAAGACAGAAAGACCCAAATGTTCCTGATGGAAATGCATGGTGTGAGTGTTGACCAAGACAAGATGGGCCAATGTTTGGGTTTGTTCCTCAGAATATTGAGTAGAACAGGCTTCTTCCAACTCCTAGTCTGTTTCAGTCCAGAACAAGGCACTGAATTCTGACTTGGAAGAGCATTATACATTTTGAGTGGTGGATCAAGGCCAATGAAAACTGACTAGAACCTAGTAGACATGATCCTAAAACATTTCAGTAGGCCTAGTAATTCTATCCCAGGAGAGTCACTTGTTGACCAGTCTGATGCCCTGGGTCCCACACGATGGAAGGAAAGAAACAAATCCCCAGGTGTTCCTCTAGCTTGCACAGGGACAGCATGGTCAGTGGTCCCACCTGTATGCACAGACACAGGGCCGGTCAATCAGCCAATCAACACAGTAACTAGCATTGAAGGGGATGGAAGAGATTCCCGTGACACACCACAGAATGAAGGAGAAACAATTTCAGAAAGGTGGCTCGGGTCTTTCATTTTAGTTCACAGAAGATGTAGACACAGTACCAAGTATTCAAGGCAAGCCTCATCTACATAGAGTTCAGGGCTAGCCTGTGGTATGTAAAGACCGCCTTCATAAAAACAAGACAGAGAGAATGTGGAAGACATTATTTTAGGAAGTATGGTCTTTACTCTTACATGAGTCGTAAACAGTGATTCATACAAATTAAAAGTTCCAACAGATGCCAGTCTAGACAACCCTCCAGAAATCCACACGGGGCTCAGGAACAGTGGCTCCTGACCCAGCAGATGTTTCTGTAAAGTCCTCACTAGGTTTTCGCAGCAGACACAGCTGCTGGGGAAACTGAAGGACCACACATCACCACTGACGGATGAAAAATAACAGCGAGAATACACAAGAGGAGCCTGGGAACTGAAGGCTCCCGGACAGAACCAGAAGTAGAAGCAGAAGCAGAAGCAGAAGCGGCAGAAGAAGAAGCGGCAGAAGCAGCAGAGGCAGAAGCAGCAGAGGCAGAAGCAGCAGAGGCAGAGGCAGCAGAGGCAGCGGCAGCGGCAGCGGCAGCGGCAGAGGCAGAGGCAGAGGCAGAGGCAGAGGCAGAGGCAAGAGAAGACGAAGACGAAGACGAAGACGAAGAAGAAGAAAAAGAAAACACAGCAATGTAGAAAGCCAAGGGAACCCCAAGTCACAAGTAGAATGACGTTTAATAAAAAACCCGATATTTTCTTTAAAAAAATAATAAATAAATCAGACACTGCCAAAAGCTCCTCGGCAGTGAGACATGAGAAGCCCATCCTCCACTCTTCTTCACCTGTGAGACGGGTGCCAGTTAACAGGGACACTGCCCAGCTCAGAGAACAGCAAGCGCCCTGGGCAGAGTGAAGATGGAGACGTCCTCTCAGGGTACAGGAGCAGCTCCCCAATGGAAGAATTAACTGCAAAGACCACTCCCTACTGCTGCCCAGCACAGACCACCACTGCTCACTCCGGGAACGGTCTGCCATGCCCGGGCCACTCTCCTCGCTGTGGGCTGACTGTGGGCGGAGGGCAGACGGCCTGAAACCTTGGTCTCATTTAGGTGGGTTCTAAAAGGAAGTACTTCAGGACCCTTGAGACTGAGTTTACTCTATAGGTGAAAGAAACGCAAATCCTTTCTGGACGAGGATCAAAATGCGATTCCCTAAGAATAGTTGAAGATTCACACTCCTCCCTAGTCAGAACACAGAGTCTCATTTCCCGCCTCCTTCAATGGAAGCTGGTCCTAGACACAGGTCGGGAGCAACAGAATGGAGAGTGGAAGTCAAGAGAACTCTCGCACCTCCTCTCTGTGCCTTAGAGATATTTTGTGAGAGGCGCCTAGACAAATCTGCCTGCTCTCCTCGAGTTTAGGTTCAACTCCCCCACATTGTTCCTGTCGCCTCCTTTTCCCTGCCTTGTTTTTGTCGAATATAAAAGTTTATAAACTTTATAAACACGACTACTACACGGCTATAAAATGCAGTAGGGACCAGAAATTCCACTTTCTTCTCTGGACCGCTGAGAATCCTGACTACAGCCATTCAGAGTGAGTCCGCTGGTGGCAGCAGGCTTCCGCGGAGGAGCTGTTAAGTGAGCTCCCGGCACAGCCCCAGGGGCCGGCAGCCAGCCGACCCGCCCTGTCCGGGAGCGAGATCCCGGAGGACTGGAGCAGCAGGGAACCCAGCACCGACCCCATCGCCCTCTCCCTAGCGCGGACCTAAATCCTGACTCGGCGGCGCAGCCTAGGTTCGAACAGCACCTCCAAAGTGAGCTTCTTCCTGCTTCCCCTTGGCCCGTGCCCACTCCTTCCACGATGGATCTACCGGCTCCCCCTGCACGATCCCTCAGACATCTGGGCTGCCCTGCACCCCGAACCAACCTGCGCTCAGAGATTCAACCCAAGCAGGGTAGTAAAAAACTTGAGTTCAAATTGGAGAGGGAAGTGGCATAAGGGTGGAACCTGCGCAGAAGCAACTCAGAAGGCAACGGAGCGATCCTTGATTGTGACGTCAAAATGAGTGAGACTACATTTCCCATAAGTCTGTGTAATGCGATTCCGTTGGTCACTGGAAGCCTTTGTCCTTGGGAAAGAAGTTTAACGAGCAACATCTACCGCTAGAGGGAGGCTAGAGGGAGACAGAGAGTAGGATGCTCTAATAATTCTCAGTTTGTAAACTGAGATGTTTAGATGAGAGTTGAGACCTTACAGTAATGTTTATGACATTTCTTAGGTAGTTTTGGTCACTTTACTGTGATTTCACACGCACATTTGCTTGTTATAGAAACTTACTCCAGAGTAAAACTTTCATTTTGACTCTTCTTACTTTGAGATAATTACAAGAATCTCACAAGGGAAAAACATAATTTTCTACCTTTCCAGCGTCTTGTGAAGTTCAAGCTGCCAGACAGCCAGTTCCTCAGAGCTCAGAAAAATAACAGTAATCAGCCACCCAGGACGTGGTCAAGCATCTCAACTCCCTAATGCCCATAAAAGCAGCAAGGATGCCCACAAAGTCAACATGAAGCCGTCATAGGAGACCTTATGACGCCCCATTCCCACCCATTAAGACCCCCAACCCCAAATTTTTATAATAAACAAAAGGGTGGAATGTACTTATTCAGCCACAGATAAGGCTGCACTTCGGGGTTATAAAGGTGAGCACTTGCAGAAGGTCCCTTAAGCGCGGAGATGCCTGAATGTTAAAGGGCCCCCGCATGACCCACAGGCACATGCATGGTTCCATCCACCATGACTCAGTTAAACCTTTGCACACATGCATGAGCCTGTCACTGCTTCATCTGCTTATGACATAGTCACGCCAACCCCCTGTGCACATGTGCTAGGCAGCTTTTAAAAGCTGGACACGTCATCTTTCTCTCTGCACACGGATTCCCAGGCCTGTATGCACTCCCTCTAATAAACTCCTAAGCGGGTTTGTTGCGTGTTCCGTGTTTCCTTCTCACTCACAACAGGTAATTTCAGATGGACTGCAGCGGGTGTTCTGCAGCAGAGCTGGGGAGGAGACTGGTGTACTGGGCTGCAGGCAATGCAGGGAGAGCTGAGATCTGCGGTTAGTCTTCCTGCTTCACTGGCCGGAGTGGCCTGCGGGATCCCAGAAAGAGCGAGAAGTTGGGGAGTGGGATAAAGCAATCAGTAAGATGGGACATGGGTTAGGAGGGTAAGATCTGTGTAATCCCCTGGAGATGGGGACAGGAAAGAATGGGGCACGGGAACAAATGGTCTGCAGAGCTAGAGATGAAAACGGGGCTTTGGGTTTGAGGAGCTGGAGGAGAGGGGAAGATCTGTGGGTATATCTTGTTTATGCTGTAAGAAATAGAGCTTACCTATAGATCAGAGGACAGAGCTAGTCACTAGGTAACCATAGAGTTCGGGAGGTCTTTGCAAACAGACAGGAAGTGATCTGGCTGAACAGAAAAAGGAATATAAGGCAGGAGGAGACGGGAAGTCAGCCCTATTTCACTGAAGTTAGGACGGTAAGAGTTTGCTGTGGCTTGCTCCTTTCACTCTCTGATATATCAGAATTTCCCCTGATATCTGGTTCCGGCTTTTTATTAATGATACCAATTAGAAATTGTGCAAAAATTAGTGTCCAATTTTACAGCATGAACCCATGAAAAATCTACTTGCCTGTGCTTTGTAGCCACTGGAACATGTAGGAGTTGCACTTGAGACTTCTGCTGCAGTCACTGCTCCGCCAGCGAGGTTTTCTTTCTTTTTTCCCCTCAAACTTCTGATCCAGTTTTGGATTTTCCTGGTGTCGTCTCTTTATTGCAACCTTCAGGGCCGCCTACTTATCCTTTCCAGGGTGGTTGGGGGAATAAGGAGACGGACACTCCTCATCACAGACAACATCCACCTTCCTCTCTGTCCTTGTCTCTGCCTGCCATATTCCTTCCCCCTGGAACCACTCCTCAGTAACTTGTGCCCATTTAACGGCGAATCAATCCCACACCAGTTATGCTTTAAGGGGTTATTTATTTTGGGGAGTAAAACTTACATATACCATAAACCGTCAGGAAGGGAGCCTAGTTGCTGGAGCAGGAGCCAGGAGTAGAAACCGGGAGCAGGAGCCGGAACTAAGAGGCCCGAGCCAAGATCTGTGGCTCTTTTTAAAAGAGAAATATACCACGCCCCACTGGGCTGGTATTTCAGCGGCTATTGACTGAATATTGACTGAAGGCGCTCCCGCAGCACCGTGGGCTTGTGCTTCAGCAACTATTGGCTGAAGCAGCGGCAGATACTTCCGCAGCACCCATTTTTGATCTTTCCTCTCTCCTGTCTCCTCCCATGCCCCCCTAGCCAGTAGATTATATTCAGATTCTTTAGACTTCTCCCAGCCTCTGACCTTTTCCTTACTCACCGATGCAGGAGTCAGAACAGCAGGGTGAAAGCATGTGTTAAGGGCCGTGAGAGTTGGACAGACGTTATACAGACACTGAGAGACCATGGATGCCAGCCCAGACTGCTATGCCCAGTGAAGCTTTCAATCACGCATAGATGGAGAAAACAAGATATTCCATGAAAATCCAGATTTAAACAGTGCATATTGTAAATCCAGCCCTACAGAAAGTACTAGATCTACCCCTCATACCTGATCCCTCTTGTTTTGGTCCCCACCAGTCCTCAGTTCATTTGTAAAATCTATTTTATTTCCCCTTCCCAAGCAGTTTAATGCATTCCCACAGAGCCCTCCTCTTTAGTTAATCTCTGTACATTTGAGGGTTGAAGATTTATTATCATTTACTTAATGGATAATATCCACTTATAAGGGAATACATGCCATATTTGTCTTTCTATAGGTTACCTCTCTCAGGATGCTTTTTTTCTAGTTCCATTCATATGCCCACAATCTGCGTAGTGTCATCTTAAAAATAGCTGGGTAATACTCTGTGTATAAATATACCTGTAGATGGTTTTATCTCTGTCCTGCCAGACAGCTCACAAATAAATGAGAGATACTTATTAATTATAAAACAAGAGCCAATAGCTTAGGTTTGCTGCTAACTAGCTCTTATAACTTGTATTAACCTATTTTTATCAATCTATTTTTGACTGGTAGCTTTACAACCTTTATTCTGTACTGCCCATGCTGCTTCCTCCCT